AAAAACAATAAAATACACTTAAAAGGAGCTGGAGAGATGGCTCAGAGGTTAAGAGCACTGACTGTTCTTCCAGAGAACCTGTGTTCAATTCCCAGCATCCACATGTCAGCTAACTGTCTGTAACTCCAGTTCCAGAGCTTCTGACACCTCACACAGACAGACATGTAGGCAAAACACTAATGAACATAAAGATAAATTATATATAGCAGGGCGTGGTGGTGGTGGTGGTGGTGGTGGTGGCGGTGGCGGCGGCAGCGGCGGCCATGGCGCAACCCCTTAATCCCAGCACTCGGGAGACGGAGGCAGAGGCAGGCGGATCTCTGTGAGTTCAAGGCCAACCTGGGCTGCAGAGTGAGTTCCAGGAAAGGCTCCAAAGCTACATAGAGAAACCTTGTCTCAGGAAAAAAAAAAAGTAGTACACAGACATACACGCAGGCAAAATACACATAAAAGAAAAAGAAAAATCTTTCTTTTAAATACTGCTAAATAGTCATAAGTGCTTCTATAAAGCCGTAAGGTGGTTACAACTGAGATGCTGGTATACCTATACACAATTTTATTTTGTTGCTATTTTATTGTATTGACTTGAGGCAGTTCCGAGTTTCCACTTACAGCCCAACCACAGAGTCACCTCTCTAGCCCTGTTTGTTTTTATATTATGTTTATTTGTTTATTTATCGCATGTGGTTAAAGCACAACTTGCAAGAGTCAGTTCTCTCTATCCAGGGATGCAGGGATGCAGGGATGCAAATCAGGCTGTCCAGCTTGGCAGCAAATGTGTTTGCTCACTGAACTAGCTCATCGGCGCTCTGGCTACATATATATTTGTATGAACCGCGTCAAGTCCTGTCTGGCACAAAGAAGAAAGCAGGGAGACAGAGCTGGCAGAAGCAGATGTGCGGGCTGAGGCCTCACTCTCCACCAGGGGGCAGTGCAGCACAGCGGGACGGGACCACAGTCGGGTTAGCGTGTCCTGTGTGTGCAAGGGCAAATGGAAAGAACCAGCTCCACCCTACTCGGTGCTGGTGCCCAGGATCCCTCAGAGTTAAGCTAGTTCATCTGTGCGAGGCACCTGGCAAACCGCTTCCTCTTTCTGGTTTGTTTTTGTTTTTTGGTTTCTTGAGACAGGGTCTCTCTAGGTAGCCCCGGCTGGCCTGGAACTCAACAGAGATTTACCTGTCTCTGCCTTCTGGGTGCTGGGATTGATGGCAGGCACCACCACACCCTGCTGTTTGGTTTGGTTTGAGACAGGGACACACTCTGTAGGCAGCACTGGCCTTGAACTGGACCCTCCTGCCTCAGTTTCCCCCCTGCCTATACTGCTGGTTCCCTCTAGTCCAGTAGTTCTCAACCTTCCTAATGTTGGGACCCTTCAATACAGTTCTTCATGTTGTGCTGACCCCCAGCCATAAAATTATTTTCATTGCTACTTCATAACTGTAATTTTGCTACTATTATGAGTCGTTATGTAAATATCTGTGTCATGTAAATCTCTGATGGTCTTAGGTGACCCCAAGGGGGCACAACCTACAGACTGAGAACCACTACTCTGGGACTTAATACTCTACCCCCACCCCAGCTCTCAACCGAACGGGATATTTTGCAATGTCTCCAGAGAGTTGGTTGTCAGTTTGGGAGAGAATCCTGCATCTAGCAGTCCGAGGCTAGGACACGGCTAATAACTTGCCGCCCGGGGGACAGCTCCGTGATAGAGTAAGGTCGGCCCATGATGACAGGGTGCCAAGGTGGAGAACCCATGCTCTGGGGTTGAGTCTAACCAGGTAGCTCCGGCTGGCCTCACACTTGCAGAGGAAGGTCTTGGATTCCTGTCCCTTCAGCTTCCACCTCCTGAGTGCTGGGTTCACATGCATGCACATGCACCCTCATACCTGGTTTATGCATCACTGGGAGATCAAACCCAAGACTTCCTGCGTGCTAGGTAAGTGCGCCACCAACTCTGCCTCCCCTCCAGCCCCATTTCCTTTCCTTTCCCTCTTCCTTCCTCCCATGACAGAATCTCACTAAGTAGCCCAGGCTGGCGCTGTACTCAAGGTGATTCTCCTGCTTCAGACTCTTGGAGGCTGAGATTCCAAGTGTGAGCCACCATGCCCAGCTTTCAGGGCTGGTCTTACACTCAGCAGTCAGAACTCAACACAGGAAAGAGCTGAAAAACAAAACAAAACAAAACAAAACAAAACAAAACAAAACAAAACAAAAAAACAGGAGTAAAGGGGGTTAAGTGGAACCCGTGGGTGTCAGACCAAAAGGACACACTACCTTGAGGTGAGGGTGGTATGCCCAACTGCACTGAGGTGAGACCTTTCTAAGGGAGGTGCCCCGTGCACAAGGGGCCCTTTAAGAATGTCACCGAGTCCAGTGCCCACTTCGGTACCCACTGCATCAGCCCAGTTAGGAACTGGTCTCCACCAAACGCAGGCCTGGGGCCCTTCCTTCCGCCCTAACCTGCCAAGTGATGGTGAATCTAAAGATCCATTAACAGAAAGGTGCCTTAGTCAGAGTTCCTATTGCTGCGAGGAAACACTGTGACCAACAGCTGGGGAGTGTGGAGGGCCCCAAAACAACTTGACCACACAGCAGCCATGACAGGCTTAGGGGCCTAGACACAGCTTCTGTGACAGGCTTACTGGCAGGCAACACCCAGATCCAGGAAAAGCCTTAAGCTGACCCCACCCAGGGATCCACCCAGGGGTGAGGAAGAACCTGACATCCCAAACATTCCAACCATTAGATAAGGTGGCCAGATGTCCTTGAGTCTAGCACACTCTTATATTTGTTTTACAGATACCCATAGACAATTGTCAACCAATCAGGGTCCTGAACTCTGGAAATCCCCTCACCCCAACCTCTGCCATGATAAAAACCCCACCCCACCTGAGCTCAGGGCTCTGCTCTCACCGCTCTGTCGGACAGACAGAGGGACCAAGCTCAGAGCTTGAAATTAAGGCTCTTTGCTTTTACATGCGGGATTCGGTCTCTGTGGTGGTCTTTTGGGGTTCCCTGTGATCTGGGCACAAGAGGGAGGAAAGAGTTTATTTGGCTTACATTTCCTTATCTGAGAGTCCATCCTTGAAGACAGTCAGGACAGGAACTCAAAAAGGACAGGAACCTGGAGACAGGAGCTGATGCAGAGGCCGTGGAAGGGTGCTGATCACTGGCTTACTCCTCATGGTTTGTTCGACTTGCTTTCTTTTAGAACCCAGAACCACCAGCCAGCCGCCAAAGGATGGCACCACCCACAATGGGCTGGGTCCTCCACATCAAAGCTACTTAAGAAAATTCCCCACAGGCTTGCCGACAGCCTGATTTATGAAGGTATTTTCTCAGTTAAGGCTTCTTCCTCTCTGACGACTCTAGCTTGTGTTAAGTATAGAAGGACACTTGATGGACTGGTCAAGAGAGGCAGGGGACCTGGGCCTGGTGGTTCAGCCTGCAATCCCAGACACTCAGGAAACTGAGGCACAAGTCACAACTCTAGGGTCAGCCTGAGCTATATAAATAAGACCCTGTCTCGAAGAAGTGTGCTAGGCATGGTAGCACACATCTATAATCCCAGAACTCAGGAGGCAGAGGCAGGTGGATCTTTGTGAGTTCCAGGTCAGTCAGGGATACATCATGAGACCCTGTCCCAAAATAAAATAAGATAACCAACTAATTAAATAATTAAATTAAAAACAAATAGCTGGGCAGTGGTGGTGCACGCCTTTAATCCCAGCACTTGGTAGGCAGAGGTAGGTGGATCTGAGTTCAAGGCCAGCTTGGTCTACAGAATAAATTCCAGGACAGCCAGGGCTA